ACCACGGACACGAATGCGGAGGCGGGTCAGGTTGACTAGTGAGCTGATTTGAGGGCCCACCCTATTTAAGTCACGTGTATTAAGAACAAGCTGTCGGAGTGGTGGTGAAGTAGGGACACACGAAGCCATGAATGAACATGTGGCATCAGGATCACTCTGCCACACACGTAGTTCTCGCAGGTGCCTGAACAGCCTGGAGAGCGTTGAGATACATGCTTCCTTGTGATCCTTCATATCACGTAATTCAGTAGAGCATGGCCAATCAATTTTAAGTAATTTCAGATTGGTCAGATCACCGAGTCCTTGGATAAACTTTACAGATTGAATACCCAAATTGATCCTTGATAGCTCTTCCAACGCCTGCAGACTTCCGATTCCATCGGGTAGGCGCACCGACTCATGGACAAGAAGACGCACTAGCTTCTGCAACTGGATAATACTTGCTGGTAGCTTCTCAAGACATTGCCATCTCACATTTAGCGTCTGTAGACGTTGCAGCTTTTCTATATCTTCTGGAAGCTTGCTGGCCGAAAATTTGTTGTCTATCCTCAAGAACTTCAACTGACCTAAACTTTTGACATTTCCAAGAGAGCATTCACCAACCTCACCTTCTATATTCAGCACTCGCAAGACTTGGCTGTTTAAGAACTCTGTGGCATGCTTATTAACCAGAACTGAATTTGAGCCAAAGATATTGATGGATCGGATCTGAGCTCCATTTTTTATCATCTTGGAAATCTCTTCCGCTCGGGAAGAAATGTCTTTTTGGATGGATAGACGGCGAATCTTGTTTGAAGAAGAATTTTTAGAAAAACCATTACCATTCCATATAGTAACAAAGTTGTCCTCCACGGCCTTTGATATAATGAACTCAAGTATGACATCATGAACTCTGCATTGTTTTGCTGTTGCGCCGTGTCCCCCAACCTTGGTTGGCTGCACCAAACTTCTATTGATGAGCTCATTCAAGTAACTTCTCCCTAGCTGCTCCATACTTTCCCTGTCCTGTCCAGGAATCAGTCCTTCGGCTACCCATAGCAATATCAACTGTTGGCAATCAATGGGATAATCCTCTGGAAACACACTCAGATATAACAAACAACTCTTTAGATGGTGAGGAAGGTCAACGTAACTCAGCAGCAGAATTCTTTTCATCTTATCAATGGGAGAATCTTTGTCAACTGCAGCAGCAATAGACCTCAATACATTGACCCAGACTTCCACTGCTTTGCTTCTGTTTGCTAATAAACCAGCTATACTGATTATGGCTAGTGGTAAGCCGCAACATTTCTTTAAAATATCATCGGATACTTTCCTCAAATCTAGGTGGCAATCATCACCGGACAAAAATAGCCTCTTAAAGAATAATCTTTGGGAGTCCTCATGACTAAGGGGCTTTGCTTGATACATTTGTGCAGCAATACCAGTACAACAAGATTTGGCTACTGCTTCAATGCGTGTTGTAGTAATAATTCTGCTTCCATTGTCATTGCGTGGTAAGGCAGATCGTACAAGCTCCCATGCATCGACATTCCAGATATCATCAATCAAGATGAAGTACCTGCATACATTGGTTGTGGAATCACGTTATTAATAATGTAAGGCAACCATGAATTGAAGCGTATTCCAGTGAAGTTAAAGATGTCGGAGAAATATAAGATGGATCGTAGTGGCACACTTTTTTATCAGTGATTATTACACATGAGAAATACAGTGTGTAAACTACCATTATTTAAAAAATATGTTACAACCTCCAAAATGGTAAGTGCCGCATTAGAACACCTAGAGACCCACTCAAAAGACATGACGCATTCAGTTCAAAAGCTGAGTTCCAAAATGAGATATTTATGGATATTTAGAATTCTGGTCATATTTTCCAAGAAGTAATTTTACTGAGTATGGATTAGATGGTGTAAAGTAAAATTTTTACCAAAATGATGCACAGTTGACTTGAGTTTGTTCATTGTTGCAACATCTTTAATGATGACATTTGATAGATATGCTGAGCCATTGAAGTATCTGTGGTAATTTTATGCTGTCAAGTTCATTAGGCCAGGAAAAAATGAATCATTTTTTAAAATTCCCAGAAAATTGCATAAATGGCCTAATAATTAGGTGAGCTCATGTGATGAACCAATATTGCACGACATTATTCTAGATAGATGAACTGGTTAACTATTAGAAAAAGAAATAATATTGATTACCTCTTGTCCTTTAAGCATTCTTTCACTGTGCGGATGAGCTGCTCAACTGTCTCTAACATCTGTGACTGGTCAAAATGGCTCTTGCTTATTTGAGACAATATATCTCTAAGAAGTTTCTTCATATCTGGAGTTTGTGATACAGACACAAAAGCCCGGCTATCAAAAGCAGCTTCAGTGATTTTATTGTACACCTCCATGGCGAGAGTGGTCTTCCCCTGTCCACCTATCCCATAGATGGACACCACCTTGTGCTCCTTGTCTTCACATCTCAATAAGCTGATGATCTCCTCACGAGGAGCATCGATTCCAACAAGATCCCTGGCCTCCTGAAAGAGTGCAGGTGCTCGAGGATCCAACGGCACTGGCTGAGATGAGGAGGCGAGGAGACACTGATTGATGTCGTAGTAGCGTTTCCCCCGCTCGCTCTGCTCGCTCACGAGCCTCTTGAGTCGTCGGATCTCCTCTGCTATTCCTCTGTCCTTGAACAGTGTCTTCACCATTTGAATGGCCTTGTGCACGAAGTTGGCGGTGGAACCTCCATCTCCATGGCTGTGATTGAGCACAAAACGGTCGATGCAATCCTCAATATCGTAGGACAGCTCACGCACCTTGCTCCTCCAGTCTTTGGCGAGTGGATCGATCTGGTCATCGTCCTTGTCTTCGAGCCTCAGCAGCATGGCTTCCATGGTGCGCAGCTCGTCTTGCAGGGACCGGATCCCTTGCTTGACATCTCTGGCGAGGTTGTACTTGTCGGTGAGCATGGCGGCCAGCTTGTCGATGACGGAGCCCAACACACCCGTGGTGGCGCTCGAGATCATTTCGGCCATCTTGACTCACGACTACTGGATGACTGAAATGCTAGCTAGCTTGTGCGGTGGTATGAGAGAGGATAGGTGATTCAGTTCTCAGGTTAAAGTGGGGCAAACAACAACGCATCCCATTCGTTAAATATATAATTCTCCTCTAGATTCGCGAGAACCACTCCAAGGCACGTTGTCGCTGACAGTCCACACGACGGCTTCAGTCTCGAGAAGATTAATTTAAAGAATGCTTTTGAATTTGTGAAAGGGAGCCCGTTTTTTGGCCGATCTCAGTGATATGTTTCGTTACACTGTTTGAAAAAATGTTACATCCCTTTATAAGTTTTGGTGGACGAAGAAAATAGCCACCCTCAGTGCATATATAGATTCATGTCACTAGCTTTATAAACTAGTCTCTCAATAATAAATAGCTACCTACTATTGTAATCAAATACGCCACATAAATAATTTTGGTATGGTGTGTAATAAGCGACCATTTCAGCCATCTTCTCAACTCGAAAGCACTCGCTCGATGTAGATTGATTATTACACATGAGAAATTTCCTTCCACTTTCCTCCGTAACCACTTTCTTCCACCAACTCTCTCTCTCTCTCTTTCAGTTTTTCTATTTCGGCCAGGCCATCTCAATCTACAAGCCATGTGACCATAAGTGCTGCTGTGCTGGCCGACGGTGACCGGCGCGCAACTTGCGATGTCACACCAGGAAGTAAAAATGAAGGACCGAAACGGCGACTAGAGGGGGTGAATGAGAGACTCAAATTTCTTTCGAAAACTTAGGCCGCTGTCCCAAAATCAAACCCCAAACCCAAACACACAGGAGAGGAGAGATCCACGAGCCAACTAGGTGGCTGGATGTCTATGGTGATGACCAAGAGATACAGCGGGACCCTCGAGAAACAACCAAGCAAAGCCCTCGACGAAACACCTCAAAGCCGAGAAGTCTGCATAGGACCAGACTGTCTGCAGTCCAAGCACGGACTGTTCGCAAAAGAGGGGTCGGACTGTCCGTGGTCTGCACCGGACTGTCCGCCTGCCAGAACTTCAAAAACAGACTGGCGAGAAACAGTTCTGGTCTGGACTGTTCACAACAGCGGCAGACTGTCCACGGTCAGGGCCAGGACTGTCCGCGCCTGTGCTGAAATGAAACAGTACAGATAGCCGAACTTGGCTGTTCCCGACCCCGACTGCCGGACTATCCGCGGTCAGGGCGCGGACTACCCGCGGTCTGCGGGACAGAGCTCCCGAAAATCGCCAAGAACACAAATTCGCCCGATTTGTGACCAAATCAAAACCAACTGCCACCAAAATTGAAACAAGGGATCACAAGGCAGTAGGTGAGCTACTCCTAAGAGATCATCGCTCAAAGTATAGTCAATCGACGGGAAATTTGGATCACGCGAAGAACACCGCTTTTTTGACTCCGAAAATTGAATTGCCCCGATCTATGAACTCGTGAGGTTTCAGTTAAATTCCTTTGGTGGAAAGGATCAACTCACGTCCTAGTTCATTCCAAATCAATCGGTTTGACTCAAAACGACCCACAACTCAAGAATCGAACGAAAACGTGAGAAGGATTGGAGAGGAAGAAGCAAGAACGCGAAGAACATAAACGACAATTGCACAAACGTATCATACCATGAATTCCGGTGGTGTCGGAGATGGTGGCACAAATTATGGGATTCGATTCTATTTCTACGGCTGAGCACTAGGAACGACACGAAGTTTCCTTCCACTTTCCTCCGTAACCACTTTCTTCCACCAACTCTCTCTCTCTCTCAGTTTTTATATTTCGGCCAGGCCATCTCAATCCGCAAGCCATGTGATGATAAGTGCTGCTGTGCTGGCCGACCCGCAACTTGCGATGTCACGCCAGGAAGTAAAAACAATATTCAACTGGTTGAAGACCAAGCAAACCCTGATATCGTAGGATAGCTCACGCACCTTGTTCCTCCGGTCTTTGGTGAGTGGATCGATCTAGTCGTCATCCTTGTCTGCGAGCCTTTGCAGCACGGCGTCCATGGTGCTCAGCTCGTCTTTCAGGAAGCAGATCCCGCGCTCCACGTCTCTGGTGAGCTGGTACTTCTCGCCGAGCAAGGCGGCCAGCTTGCCGATGATAGAGCCCATCACGCCCGTCACTGCACCAGAAAGCAACAAAGGAGACGCATCACTCAGAGACAGTAAATAAGACACCGTCACTAAAGTAGTACTGACGGTGACATAAAGATTGGTCTCTGAAATATTAGTCCACAGCCGCACAACCAATATAATCTCTGATGACATAATATCCGAGACGCGTCTTACTATAAGCCATCTCTAATATATCAAAGACAGGCCCGTCTGTTCTATAAAATATATCAGAGACGGTTTATTATCCAGAGACGCGGATCTTTTGTTACCAGTCTGCTCTAAAATACATATCAGAGACGGCTAGAAATTCAGAGACGGTTTTGATTGTAGCCCGTCTATTTTTAATAAAATATCAGTGACGTGTGGAATATCCTCGTCTGTGTGCTAACTATAGCAGTGACACGCGCATATTACACCCCATCAGTGTCGTATCAAAGATGGCTTTCTCCTTGCTAGATATCGATCTAAAGCTATAACATGGCCGGCCGGCTTATTGTGTCCTCTCTCGCGAGCACTATTACTCTGACCTATTGCCGCTTGGGTGTGTCCGTCCAATTAGTCGGCGCTCTAGCTATTAGATGGATCACCTATCGACCTAGATAGCCTCTGTATATGTGTAGTGTGCCATCGTTTTGGCGCGTGGGGAGCCGGTGGTAGCCGGCTATGGGTCGCCCGCACCGGCCGTCGATCGATCGAGCTTATAGGTATACCCCCTACTCAATCTCTGCTAGCTGCGCATGCCTCGGCTCTCTTGCAGATCGATATTATATTGTTCCCCTTCTTTAGTAGGTCTAATATCCTAATTAAGATTTTGCTGCTATATATATATATATATAGGGTGCTTTTTATATACTCCCGGGAGTAATTACTCCCATAATCAATAAATCACGTTGCGTATGTGTACATACTCATTTATTAGTTTGAGTACGTTGACATACTAATATTAAGATACTCCAGATCTTTACTATGTGAAAAAAAATTCAAAAGAGCACATTTTTTTAATATATTACATAATATTATGATAATAGTATATAAAATAAGTATAACCATATACTCTAAGTATACATAAATACTTGTCATACATAGTACCCTAGATGGTCTAGTATGATGATATACTCCATCTACATAGACTTCGTCAGGCCATATACGCCCTAAATCTAGAGATATACACATGAAAGTAACTACTCCCTAGGAGTAGGAAATAATTTCCCTATATATATATATATATATATATATATATATATATATATATATATATATATACACCTGATCTCTCTCGGTCGATGATCTTCAACGTACTTATTCAGGTTTCTACCAATAATTAACTACTTGTATAGTTAATAATATAATGAAATGATTGATTAATTGTGAGATGCACATAGATATATATGTATGCATACTGACACAAGTTTGTATATATTTTGAAAATTTAATTTTGTTGTAGATGGATGACCTAACGTGGATGTATCTGAAGAACCGTACCTGTGATCAGTATTTGCAGGGTCTCCGGTCATTCATTACAGCAGCAGAGGTGGATATGTCGACTCACTGCAACTACTGCTATGTGGTGTCCATGCAAACATTGTAGGAATAACAAGAAATACTCCAGCTCATGTACGGTCCATGCACACCTGATCATTCGTGGTTTCATGGATGACTATCGATGTTGGAACAAGCATGACGAGGAAGGCGTTAACGATCGAGACATGCAGGACAGCCATATGGACGACATGAATGAGAAGGGGAAACTATTGGAAATCCGAGAAACTATTGCCTCATTTCTAATGTCGCAACTCTGAAGGCATGAATGAGAAGGGGAAATTTACTTTGGACATATGCGGGTTTGTAAACATTGATCTTGTGAGACATGTGTTGCAGTTGGTTACTTAATTAGCCAGTATGTTTATTTATCTGTGCACAATTATAACTACTTTACTGATGAGAAATTCATGACCATCCTGTGATGAGCATATAAAGAGACATGGATTTGCATTCTAACACGTCTGTGTTAAGCATCATCAGAGACACGTTCTACAAGAAACCTGCCTCTAATGCAAGCATATTGCAGCCGCACCTGAACGTACTGTATCAAAACTGAGACGGGCTCCATTAACGCTAATGTCTCTGTTTGAGCAGTATCAGAGACGGCGCTTGAGCAATATCCGTCAGTAGACTAAGCAGGCCAGAGACATTTGTGTTCGGTACCGTCACTAATTGTGAAAAATCAGAGAGGGTTTTTTTTAGGCAACCGTCTGTATTATTCTTATGACAGACGGTAGTGCCTAGGAGCCTTCACTATCTGTTACATATCACAGACGGTTTGTGGTTATTAACTGTCACTCTTATCTACTTATCAGAGACGGGTAATGCCTTAGGAGTCGTCGCTACATATCAGAGACGGTTTCTGGTTTTCAACCGTCTCTTTTATGTACTTATCTGAGACGGTTGTGCACCGGTCACTAGTACTGTCCACAGCACAGCTTTGTTTCCCGTCACTAAGTGACATCTATGTGGGTTGCTAGCTAGCTAGCATGCGCGGTGGTCTGGAGATGCCAATTCCGAGGATAATTGCTCCCAGATGGTGGCACAAATAATTGGGATTCTATTTCTGCGCGTGAGCACTGGGAACGACACGAAGTTTCCTTCCACTTTCCTCCGTACCCACTTTCCTTTCACCAACTCTCCCTCCGTTTTTCTATTTATGCTGGGCCACCTTTGTCCGTGTGACAAGTGGTGGTGGCCGGCGGGCAACTTGGCCATGCGATGCCACGCCAGGAAGTAAAAACAATTTCAACTGATTGAAGACTAATAATAAGTAAAGCACGAACCGAGCTCTCGAGTCCTGAGTCCTGGCCATGCCCCGTCGTCGTCTAGTTCTAGTAGTAATTAACTATCTGGTCCCTTCATTCTCACTAACGCGCAAACCAAAGTTGTGCTTGTCTGCATATGGGAGAAGACACACAACATTACAACAGAGATAATTACAGCACCGCAGCACCAAGAGGTCAGAGGAGGTAGCATCGTGCCGGCGAGGCCACATGCCCTCACGTTCACGGCCTCTGATGACCTCAGCGCTGCAACTGCACTGTAGGGTTGCCGCGCGAGGCGGGCGCTCTCCATGGCATCCGATGGGCGTCGCCGATCGGGGTGGGTCGTGGGCCGCAATGACTGCCATGAGGGCAGCGCTCATCAGTCATCATAACCATATACAGCGCGCTTACCTTATAAGGCAATAGTCCACGAGCAGGAGGTGACGCCGCCCATGATCTCCACCAGAAGTCCAGTAGGGTATGGGTGGTCCCAACAAGCGTCTCTCTTCTCTTCAGCCCACACCACACCACACCACACCGTTGCCGGCTGGTATACGAGGAATCTAACACAGAGCGCACCATGTACTGGTGGAGTTGTGCTGTATAGGAAAGGAAACAGCCTGCAGGATACCCAACTGAGCCGGACCCATATGATTAGCTGGGCTGGGCCTTAATGTTTCTTGAGATAGGACCTTAATACTGTTGCTTTATAATAAGCAGTCCTGATTGCTTGTCTTGCCATGTGCCTTTTGATTCCATAGCCGGCCAATCTGGGTAGGATGGCCTGTGCGAACGACTTCTTAATAGAATTTGAGCATAACATACGGCATGATTGATTATATTTGGATAATTATAACTCAGATTATAAACAGGACTATTATAATCTATTTATGGGTTATTATAATCTAGGTCGTTTAGATTTAATTCAGATTATAAAAGTATATGGAGAAATCAATAGATTTAAGCCAAAAAATTGGTCCATGATCGCTATAGAGAGTTTCTGCAGATAGATGCACTGAAAGCGCATGGACATAGGACAAGTATAATCCAATAAATCAACAATACTACTTGTGAAATTGTTTTCAAATAGAAAACACCAAATGTTATAGTGAGAAACTAGCTACTTGTGCAGGGTTAGCAACTCCAAAAGACTCTTTATTATATCATTTCCAATTTATAGAAATAGAGATTTTAGTGGAAAAAATACCCTCTAACAGTCTCTTTAATTGAACATGCAAATATAGAAATCCACTATTCTAGATTTCTCGCTAACCAAAGATCGGGAGCATGGATGGCTCCATGGAGTGCGCACAAGAGATAGAAAAGGTATTGGAGGGTACAAAGATATAGAAAGCGATTTTACTCAAATGACGATTTAGAGAGTAAATTTTAGAAACTCTTGGAGATGCTCTAAGGGTGAAAATCGGATGGTTATTTCCTGATATCCATGTCTTTGAAGGGTTTAGATACTAAATGGATAATTCATATATCTAATATTCATGCCATATTTGAATCTAAATACTCAGAGTTAGATATTTGATACACATGTAGGGTGAAAATCAATATTCGATACATTTGACACTATCCTTATCATTTTGAATTTAATATGAAAAATAAATACAAGTACTCATGCCATATCATATCCACTTGTATTCTATCAGTTTTTATCCTACCATTATACTTTACTTTGATCTTCTTGTTTTATAAATGTACATGTGAGCGACAGTCTAATTTTCAACCTGGACTACGAAACCGAATAAATCCGGTCATCTAACCGGTTTCGAAGATGGTTTTCTACTTTTTAAAAATAAAAATATAGTTTAATCTCAAAAAACAATTTATTTAAATCAGAAAAATATGAAACTAGTACCGGTTTTCCTATAAAATGGTTATCTATCTGTTGGTGCTCTATGTGGTGATATTTGAATGTTATTTGTTTTAAATAAGTAATGAGCATGACCACAAGCAATAAAGGAATAGAAAAAGAAATAATTCTTCAAATAAATCTGAATAGATCACAAACACATATAAAGTATTTTAAAAATATGCTGCTACTTCCACATTTGTTTGAATTAAAAGAAATTAGTTATGAATTTTTAGGTATTAAACTAGTTTTATTTTTATTTTTATTATTATTATTATTACTATTGTTATTACTATTATTATTATTATTACAGAATAGAAAACCACATTTGAATCTAGCAAGAGTGCTAAAACCATGCGCCTCTGTCCCTTTTGTGATTTGTGCCACCTCAATCATGAATGATTCCTTCTATCTACCCTCTCCTATCCACCAATCCCATCCCCATCCCTCCCCTCGACCCCGAACTCATCCCTATGGTGGCAGCTCATGTGACTACCAGGAAGCAGAGAT